GCGTTGTCGAATTGTTTGCCGTTGTCGGAGACGATGGCTTGAGGGATGCCAAACCTGCATATGATCGACTGCCAGATGAATTTGGTTGTGTTCTGTTCGGTGATGGTGGCAAGGGGTTCTGCCTCTACCCAATTGGTAAAATAATCAATGACGACAATCGCGAACTTGGTCTGGCCTCGGCCGGTGGGAAGTGGTCCAACTAAGTCGATCCCCCATTTGGCGAACGGATAGGGACTGCAAAGTGTGATCAGCTCAGTAGGAGGAGCATGGGAGATGTTGGCAAAGCGTTGGCATTTATCACATTTGAGTACGAAGTCGGTCGCTTCTTGGTTGAGGGTAGACCAGAAATAACCAGTGGAAAGTATTTTGTGGGCTAGGGACCGGCCGCCTGAATGATTACCGCAGATACCCTCATGGATTTCTCGCATCACATAGGTTGCTTGAGCTGGACTGAGGTATCGCAAATACGGGCGTGACAAACCACGTTTGTACAAGACACCACTGACGAGGATGTAATTGGACGACCTGGCCTTAACTTTGGCGGCTTGCTGTTGGTCATCTGGAAGTTCTCTCGTTGTCAAAAATAGAAAGATATCCGACGCCCAAGGGATGGGCTCATTCTGGAGGAACTGTACTTCTTGTTGATCGGGAGAAATGGCAGGGTGGGCTAGGTACTCGAAACGAACACCATGACTGAGGTCGGACTGGTCTGCAGAAGCCAACTGAGCCATCTCGTCTGCCTTTGAGTTTTCCGTCCGAGAAATGTGCTGGATGTGGAAAGTATTGAAGAGGCGAACAAGGGGAAGGGCAATATCCCTGTAAGCCCGCATTGTATCCTCCTTTGCATCGAATTCTCCCGTAGTTTGTCCGACAATGAGCTGGGAGTCGCTGAACACCCGGATGTGATTGACACCGATGTCCCTGGCTAAACGAAGCCCTGCTATCAATGCCTCATATTTGGCCTCATTGTTACTGGTATCGAATAAGAAACGGAGAGCACATTTGAAATAACCACCCTCAAGGGCGGTGAGGATGAGGCCAGCCTCGCTTCCTTCTCTGCGGGATGATCCGTCGACATTGAGAGTCTAGGAATGAGGGTCCTCTAGCTCGGTAGGGTAGGGATGGTAATCTGAAATCGGCCCGACGGTGACGACCCCCCGACCTCGAATTCAGTGGTTATTCACCGAAAAATATCCCCTACGGACCGGGGATGGTATTCAAAAATTCATCCCCGATGATATCTGGGCAGGGGACGGGGATAGGTGTTTCAGACCCGGACCTGGCCCTGATCCCCGGCCCCGGCCCCGCCCCGCTTAATCCAAGAGGTGAAATTATCGTTTTATCCCTGGCTATATATATGCTTGTTTGTTTAGGGTTTGACACAGAGACACAAACACACACACACACACACTCAGCCTCTGCCTCTCACTCACACGGCGCTCCTCTCTCTCTCTCGCTCGCCACTGGTCTCTACCTCTCTCTTTCATCGGTCACTGCCGCGCCTCCCTCCTCACCGGCGATCCTCCGTCACCACCGAGCCTCTCACTCACACACGGCGCTCCTCTCTCTCTCTCGCTCGCCACTGGTCTCTCCCTCTCTCTTTCATCTGTCACCGTCGCGCCTTCCTCCTCACCGGCGATCCTCCGATCCTCCCTCACCGACGCTCCTCCGTCGCTGTTCTCTCTGTTTAGGTATCTCTCTCTCTCTCTCTAGGGATTTGGATCTAGGGTTTACATATATGTATATTATATATATATATATGAGTATATAGATCTGTTTATTTTAGATCTGTATATCTGAGATTGAGTATATCTAAAAAAAAATTTCTCTACGCGCAGGCGATTAATCTCGACCCTAAGAGTGCTGATCTCTTCGCTGACCATGCTCAGGCCAATATCAAGCTCAACAACTTCACCAGTACTACAAATCCCCTTCTCTCTCTCTCTCTCTCTCTCTCTCTCTCTCTCTCTCTCTCTCTCTTCATATATGTATGAGATGAATTGCGAGACTTCATCTTCGTCTCTGTTTGTGGTTTAATTTGAATGTATTATTGTTAAATTGGAATTTGCAATTCGGTTAATTGTGTTTATCTCTATATTGTAATTTACTTGCATATATATTATATTATATATGGATTTTATGTTAATTATACTACATCTGCTTGGTTCATATTTGTTACTCCGAGTTTATCCGAATTTGTTGAAAGTTGAAATTTGTTAGTCATAACCTATTAGTCATAATTTGTTAGCCATAACCTGTTAGTCATTTGTTGAAATTTTTTGAAATTAATTTGTTAGTCATAATTTTGAAGATTAATTTGTTGAAATTTGTTAATTTGTTAATTTTGAAGATTAATTTGTTAATTTGTTAATTTTGAAATTAATTTTGAAGATTAATTTGTTAATTTGTTATGACATTTTTTTTCAATTTTAAATTTACATCATTCACTTCTTTTAAGAAATAAATTTCAAAGTTGAAATTTGTTAATTTGTTAATTTCATTCAAATAATTCTCAAACTTCATTCTCTAACTTCAAAATGATAATTCTCTAACTTCATTCAAATAATTTGCTGTAACAAGTTAAAAAAATCAAAATACTTCATTTCTTGTTTAATGGGTTAGTGGTCAGATAAAACTACTAAGTTTAAACCTGTTAAAATACATCACTCACTCACATTCTTCTCCACTGGTATTTACTTAGACAAAGACTTTCAAAGGATTTCTTCCTATGTTTGCCACCACACGGTTAAGTTGATTTGCAATCTACAAAAACACAAAGCAAAAGGCAAAAATTTAAACAATCACTTATGAAATTAGAAGGCTGAAGAGATAATAGTAATCCATTTCAACCACCTTTTCAGCAAGTTCATCTTTAACATTCTAAAAGCAAAATAATCTATGGAACAGAAACACTTTGCTCTCACTTGATGTTTAGTTAATTTGTTTCTCAGTTCCATTAATTCCATCCATGTTATTAGTTATTATTAATTTGTTTCTTAGTTTCAATAATCTACTTTTATGTTACCTTTGTTAATATTAATTCAATCCATATTATTTTTATAAAGGTTAAAAATGTCAGATGCTAACTCTGAAGCACCAGTTAACTCTGAAGTACCCGTTAACTCTCAAGTACCATTTGAGAGTGACGCGTCACAACATTCATCGCCAGCAACAAAAGAACCTACTCACTCACTGTCTCCCTCTCTAATCAACATGTTATTGATTTAGAAGAAGAGTCTAATACTACTTGTGGAGGAACTAAAAGAAAACCTAGTGTGGTGTGGGAACATTTTAAAAAACAACAAGTCAATGGGGTGTGGAAGGCAATATGTAATTATTGTAATAAGCATCTTGGAGGTGATTCAAAAAATGAAACTAGGCATTTGCATGATCACCATAAGAGTTGTACTAGGAAAAAAGTGATGGACATGAGGCAAAAAGTGTTAACTAACAACTTTAGTAGAGAGAGTCCAAAAATGAATTCTTATATTTTTTATCAAGATTTTGCTAGGAAAGAGTTGTCACATGCCATAATCTTGCATGAATATCCCCTCTCTATCGTAGACCATGTTGGTTTTAAACGATATTCAACAACACTTCAACCATTGTTTAAAGTGCCTTCTCGAAATACGATAAAGAGTGATATTTTAAAGATTTATGATTATGCGAGAGCGACGACATTGAGTTTGGTGGAGCATAATAAAAGTAAGGTGGCAATCACGACTGATATGCGGACTGCTAGCAATCAAAAGAAAGGATTCATGGCTGTCACCGCACACTTTATTGATGATTCATGAACATTGCAAAGTCGCATTTTGAGGTATATTTTTGTAAATTTGCAAATCATTTAAAAATTGTATCTTATTCAGTTCAATTTGCATGTTATTAATACTTGTTTATAAATATCATATTTTAAGTTTATTTATGTTCCATGTCCACACACAAAAGAAGTTCTTTGTGATACTTTGCTTGAGTGTATGATGGACTGGAATATTGAGAGAAAAATCTCGACTGTTACTATTGATAATTGCTCCACAAATGATGCCATGATTACCATGTTGATGGATAAGTTAAGTAATTCATCGCTTTTGTTGGGTGGTACGTTGTTTCATATGCGTTGCTGTGCGCATATTTTGAATTTGATAGTGAAAGATGGATTGGATGTCATACGAGTTGGTGTGGAGAAAATTCGAGAGAGTGTAGCTTATTGGACAGCAACACCAAAAAGACTAGAAAAATTTGAAGAAACAGTCAACTAATTACGTATTCCACATACTTAGAAATTAGGACTTGAATGTGCAACTAGGTGGAATTCAACCTACTTGATGCTTCAGACAACCTCATTGTATAAGGATGTCTTTTCTAGGTTGAAAATTAGAGAGCCCCAATATAAGACTGTGCCAACTGAACAAGAATGAGAGTTTTCTAGAGAGATTAGTGGGAGGTTTAAGATTTTTTTTGCTATCACTGAGTTGTTTTCTGGTACAAAGTATCCCACAGCCAATGTTTGTTTCCCAGCTTTATGTGAGATTAGGATGACACTATCTCAATGGCTCTCTTGTGAAATTGAAGTGATTAGAACAATGACATCAAAAATGGTGGAAAATTTTGATAAATATTGGTCAGTGATACATGGTGTTATTAGAGTTGCAGTTGTACATGATCCTAGGTATAAAATGAGTGTATTGGAGTTTTATTTTGAAAAACTTTATGGAGACAAAGTTGAAGATGAAGTTGATAGGGTTCGTCATATTTGTTATGATTTGTTGTAAGAGTATCAGCACCGAGTTGGTATGGAAACCGATGTTGTTGGTGACTCTTCTACTCATCCAGAAATTGTTACATAGACCCTTTCAGAATTTGATTTGTTTATTAGTAGAAAGAGAAGTAAAAAAATGAAGAATGTAATATCAGAGTTGGACCTTTATCCAAAAGATGATGTTTTGCCAAGAACTTCAGGTTTTGATGTTTTGAATTGGTAGAAAGCTAGTGGACCAAAGTATCCGACCATACAGGCAATAGCTAGGGACATTTTAGCTATTCCTGTATCCACTGTTGCTTCTGAGTCAGCATTTAGTACTAGTGGAAGGTTGGTGAGTCCACATCGTAGTAGACTTCATCCAAACACATTATAAGCATTAATGTGTGCACAAAGTTGGTTGTGGGGTGCAGAGATGAAAGGTATTATTTCATCTAATCTACATATTATTATTTCAAATTTTATTATTTATATTACCATGGAATAATTTCAATACTGAATTTATATTCTTTATTTTTTAGGAAATTCAACATTGGAATCGGTGGGCTATGCAACTATATATGATAATGATGAAATCGAGTCGGATCAGTCATGTGCCACTTTTGTGTTAGTTGTCATCTTTTTTGTTTTAATTGTTAATATTCTTTACATTTTATTATTAGTATTAATTATTTGTTTTTTTCCTTTTGTTATTTAACAGGAATTCAAGTTGAAGGAGATGATGGAAGTTGTGTGGTTTGTATGGGTATTGGACAAACAATGGATTTGATTTTTTATGTTGTAATGGATATTTTTTTTTTTAATTTCAATTTTTGGGTAACCTATCCCTTGCGAGTTATGCTTGGGATTAATTATTATCTTTGTTACTTGTTGAATTTTCTTGTGTGTGTGGGCTGCTAGACAGATGTTTTGTTTGTTATGTTGTTGCTACAGGATGTTTTGTGTTTGGGTTGTGTATTTGACAGATGCTGCTGGACAGATTTATTGAATTTGTTGACATATATTTGCAGATTATATATTGGCAGATTATGTTGAATTTTTGGCAGATTGTATACATTGGCAGATTGTATATATTGGCAGATGTTGCTGGACAGATTGTATATTTTGACAGATTATGTTAAATTTTTTAAGTTCTTTGTGATAGGATGAAAGTTGTGTGTGATTGCATTTTTTTAAACATGTACAGATTATGTTGAATTTTTTAAGTTCTTTGTGATAGGATGAAAGTTCTTTTAATTTCAAAACATGTATAGATTCTTAATAGGGTGTTTAAAATTGTTTTCGGGAAAAAAAAAACATAATCTAGGAATTTACGGGGTCGGGGATACCCGATCCCCGATCGGGAGCGGGGGCCGGGGGGGATATGGGGTCCCCGTCGGGGATCGGGGACGGGGACGGGGAATTTCTCACTGTTGGGGATCGGGGACGGGGAGTATGGTCCCCGGCCCCACCCCGTCCCGTTGTCATTCCTACGGTAGGGGTTGGTGGGGGTGGAGTGGCCGTGGTTGGGGTAGGATTAGTGAACTCCAGGATGAAATCGACGACAGCCTGCCCCTTAATGGCTGTTTGAGGTCGATAGGAGATATCAAACTGGCTGAGTTCCACTGACCATTGCATGAGTCTTCCAGAGAGCTCTAGTTGCTGCATTACCTTCTTTAAAGGTTGGTCAGTGAGGACCACTATGGAATGGGCTTGGAAGTAAGGACGGAGTCATCTGGAAGCAGTGACCAAGTCCAGGGACAATTTTTCTAACAGTGGGTAATTCTACTCGGCGCCCCTGAGGGCCCGACTGATGAAGTAGACCGGCCGTTGAACAGAGTCGTCTTCTTTGATAAGAGCTGCACTGACTGCGGTGCTTGAAACGGCTAAGTAGAGGAAGAGGGGTTCGCCAGTGATTGCCTGATAAAGGAGGGGGGGTTGGCCATGCACTGCTTCAACTGTTGAAAGGCCTCTTCGAACTCGGTCGTCCATTCAAAAGTTTGCCGAAGAACTTTGAAGAAGGGGAGGCACTTATCCGTTGCGCGGGAAATGAAGCGGTTGAGGGCGGCAACTCGGCCAGTGAGTCTCTGAACTTCCTTAACCGTTCTGGGTGATTGCATTTCGATCAAGGCCTTGATCTTTTCAGGGTTAGCTTCAATGCCCCGCTGGCTAACCATGAAACCCAAGAACTTCCCAGATCCTACGCCGAAGGCGCACTTCTCTGGGTTGAGCTTCATTTGGTACTTCCGTAGGGTGGCGAAGGTCTCTCGCAGGTCGGTCAGATGGTCAGCGGTGAGTTTGCTCTTGACTAGCATGTCATCGACATATACTTCCATCTGGTGATAGAAAACGGTGTTGACCAACCGTTGGTAGGTGGCCCCAGCATTTTTCAATCCAAATGGCATCACTTGGTAATGGTAGGTGCCTCGGTAGGTAATGAAGGAGGTGTGTTCCCGATCGGATGGGTGCATCAGAATTTGGTTATACCTAGAGAAGGCATCCATGAAGCTGAGCATTTGGTGACCGATCGTGGCATCGACCAGCAGATCTATGCGGGGAAGAGGATAACTGTCTTTGGGGCAAGCTCGGTTGAGGTCTGAGTAGTCGACACAGAGTCGCCATTTACCATTGTTCTTGCGGACCAGGACCACGTTTGACAACCATCTAGGGTAGTCCACATTTTTGATGAATTATGCCTCAAGGAGCTTGTCGACCTCTGCAGCAATGAGTGTATTGCGCTCCAGATGGAAAATGCGCTGCTTCTGGCGGTAAGGTCGGAAATGGGGTTCAATGCTGAGGCGATGGGTTATGAATGAGGGGTCAATGCCCGGCATGTCCAAGTGGGTCCAGGCGAATACATCGTTGTGCTCAATCAGGAGGGCAGTAAGGTCAGTCTTTGCTTGGGGGGACAGTTGGCTGCCAATTTTGGCAGTTTTCACCGGGTTGGTGGGGTCAATGGGAACCTCGACGAGCTCCTCCACAGGCTCCCCTCTAACCAGCTCGTCCTCATCCCGGACGTCAAGTCCTTCAATGATCATGGCTTCCTTCAGCTTGACTTCTTTTAGTGAGGCAACACAACATTCCCTGGCCACGGTCTGCTCTCCCCTTACAGTCCCGACCCCTAGATCAGTGGGAAACTTAACGGCAAGGTGATAAGTTGATGTGATAGCTAGGAAAGCATTTAGGGCAGTGCGGCCAAGGATGATGTTGTAGGCGGATGGGCAGTCGACAACAAGGAAGGTGAGCAACTTTGTAGTCTACTGTGGGTACTCACCGATTGTGATGGGAAGATCGATGGAGCCGATGGAGGTGACCCGGTCGCCAGTGAAACCGACCAAAGGGGTTTGGAGAGGAGACAGACTTTCTTTCCTAATTTTGAGCTGGCAAAAGCAGTTGAGAAAGATGATGTCTGAAGAACTGCCGTTGTCGATAAGAACTCGTCTGACCTTGTAGTTAGACAGAAATGACGAGAGGGTCATCATGAGGGTAGCAGATGCCTGTACAGTTGGCGTCCATGAAGGTGATAGGCTCGGTCCACTGCTTGGGCTATTTGGAGGGTCGATCGACCGTGGCAACTGCTTTGTCTAAGCCTTGCCTTATCTTCCTGAGTTCTGCCCTCTGAGCTGAGCGGGATGGTCCCCCGCAAACAAGGCCGCCTGAAATGACTCTGATTTCTCCAATAGGTGGGGGGGTTGCCTGACGGCCGAGGTTGCTATGGAGGGCGATCATGGCCTTGGTTAGGTTGGGCTGGCTGCCGGGAGGGTACGCCGGCGGTTGTTTCTGAGGGGTTCAGTTCTCTGCTTCTGCTGAGGGCGGGTGTCCGTGAGCCGGCTAAAATGTCCCTAGCGTATGAAGGTCTCGACCTAATCTTTGAGGTTAACGCACTCATCGGTGTTATGGCCATGGTCCTGGTGAAAGCGGCAATATTTGGACTGGTCTTTCCGATTAGAAGGGGTTCGTGAAGGTTGGGGCCATTTAAGGGGGTATTCCCGCTGGATCTGATTGAGGACTTGTCCCATGGGGGAATTAAGGGGTGTGTACCGCTCGAACCGACCGGGCGGTCGAGCTGGTGCCGACCGGTCAACTCGGGGGGGTCGATCGGTATAGTGTGGTGTTTGGCTATTATACTGGGTGTTTCTTGGTTTTGAGTCTTTTCTCTTTTCTCTGGGGGTCGGGTTTTTGGTTATTGGATCTTGCCGGGCAGCTAGGGAATCCTCAGTATTCATGTATTTTTGGGCCTTGGAGAGTAGGGCTGCCATGGAGGTCGGGGGGTTTTTAGAAAGGGAGAACAGGAAGTCGGACGACCGCAGACCGGCCATGAAAGTGGTGAGGATGATCTTGTCATCATTTTCCGCTACTTGTAGGGCCTCGGTGTTGAAGCGAGTAACAAAACTGCGTAGCGACTCCCCCTCGGTCTGTCGAATGTTGAAGAGTTGGGTTGCCGGGTGTCGCTGGCGCTGGGCTCCAATAAAATGGCTGAGGAAGGAGTCACTGGGATGTTGGAAAGTGGAGACGGAGTCTGCTGGTAACTGGCTAAACCACAGCCGAGCTGACCCCTTTAGTGTCGCGGGGAAAGCTCGACACATGATCTCGTCAGGGAATGCATGGAGGATCATGAGGGTTCTGTAGGTCTCCAGATGGTCGACTGGGTCCATCGTACTGTCGAAAGAGTCGATGGTGGGCATCTTGAACTTGGGGAGTAGAGGTTTGTCGCGGATGGAGGCGACAAATGGTGAGTTTGCTGTGGTAGAGGGTTTATGCTGGATGTTCTGCATGACCCCTTGGAGTTGGAGTTTCATGGCTCGAAGTTCCGCGTCCCAAAGAGGGATGTGGTCACCTCTTGAGAGCAACGGGGGCTAGACGCTGCTGGCCTCTCCTTCAAGGATTGGTGTCGAGATCGATGGTTGTGGGCCCCGGGGTGACAGGTTTATACCTGGGGGAGGTGGTTGCAAGCCTTCTCTGTTGGGCGGATTAGGCAGCGAGATAGTATGGCTCAGGGCTTGTTCGTAGTTGGGAGGAATATCAGGAGGTGGTGGAAGGGGCATAGGAAGGTTTCTTTGGAGTAGGGCATTGATCAGGGCTTGGTTTTGCTCGGCCATGCGGTTAATGCTGTTGGTAAGCTCGATGAAATATTGTGGTGGGTTGTTTGGATTGGGGGGGTCGGCTTGGTGGTCGGCAGCATTTTGGTGAAAAGCCATGGATCTAGTCGTGACCATACACTTCAATGGGTAGCGAGAAAGGGTTATTGGAATGGGGTCTCCGGCAACAGTGAACACAACTGGCATGAGGAGCAAAGCGTTCCTACAGACGGCACCAACTGATGATACAGTTACTACACAACGGGTCCCAGGTGGAATGGGTCGGACTAATCCACGCTTCTTCAACCGGTAACTGAGTGTTTAAGCCCACCAGAGAACCTGAACACAAGTTCAACAGGGGAACAGGGAGTCCCCCAGCGAACCCTCCGACGAGCAAGTTAGAGAGAGAGAAGTGTAATGTAAAGATATAATTAGAGATAGAAAACTTAACCTTCTTCTTGTCTTCAACGTCTGCTTATATCCTTTGGTAATCATTTCGCCGTCCCTTCCGACCTGCCACCTTGGCCGAAAGTCTATGCTATAGCTTACCTTGTTTAGGGTAAGGGGGTGCTGTTCTGACGAAGAGGTGTTGTCATAATAAATGTTGTGATGGACTGCATTTAATGGCGATGTGCAGTGGCAATAACTTTGCAGATCTTTGTCTGTTGATGTGGCTTATCCTTTACCTACCACATGTCTGAATATCATTAGTTCTTTGTGCCATGTTGGCTTCCAACTGTTCAGGATCTCATCAGTTGGG